TCTTTGCAAGAAATGCTGAAAGAAGTTCTTTAGGGAAAAGGAAAATAATCTAGGTCAGAAACTCAGACCCACATAAAGAAGGGAAGAATATCAAAGAGAGAATAAGTGAAGGTAAAATTAAAACTTTTATTTTTCCTATTCTTAATGATTTAGCAGATAAGTTTATTCAAAATAATAATACTCAAAATATATTTGGTTCTGTATGCTTATGTGCATATCACACACACACACACACACACACGTGTGTTTGTATATGAGAAAAATGAATGATAACAATGATCAAGGGATGAAAGGGAGGAATCATAGCTATCTCATTATTATAAGATATTCACACCACTCATGAAGTGGGATAGTGTTACTTGAAAGTGGATTTGGATTATTTGCAAATATATATTGCAAACTCTAGGGCAATCATTTTGAAAAGTAAAGAATAATGACTGATGTGCTGAGAAAGTTCAGAAAATGGAGTCATATGAAATACTCACTTAAGCCCACAAAAGACAGAAAAGAGTAAAATATGAAAATTGGGAAAATAGAACCAATAGAAAACAGTAACAGATATGGTGAATATTAATCCAACATTATCAACAATCATTTTGCATGACAATGGTCTAAATACACCAATTAAAAGACATTGTCAGAGTGAATTAAAAAACATGACCCAGCTCTATGTTGTTTGTAAGAAACCCACTTCAAATATAAAGACATCTATAGATTAAAAAGAAGTGGGTGGAGGGGCTCCTGGGTGGCTCAGTCCATCGAGCGTCTGACTCTTGATTTCAGCTCAAGTCAGACTCTGTGCTGAGCATGGAACCTGCTTAAGATTCTTTCTGTCTCTCCCTCTGTTGTCTCTCTCTCTGTCAAAAATAAAAATTAAAAAAGAAAAAGAAGTAGATGGAGAAAAATATACCATGCTAACATTAATCAAAAGAAATCGAGAGTAGTTGTAATAATTTCAAACAGAGCAGACTGTAAAGTAAAGAAAGTTATAAAGGATAAAGAAGGGATAATGATAAAAGGATTAAATTCTCTAAGAACACAACAATTCTTAACATATATGCACCACACAACAGAGCATCAAACTTCATGAGATAAAACTGATAGAAATGCAAGGAGAAATAGATTAATAGATGAATCCACCTTTATAGCTGGAAACTTCAACACTCTCTCTTAGAAATGGAAAGATCAAGCAGACAGAAAATTAGTAAGAATTTGCTATAGGCAAACTCAACAACACCATCAATCAACTGAGCACAGTTGACCTTTACAGACTACTTCATCCAACAATAGCAGAATATATATGTTTCTCAAACTCACACAGAACATTAGCCAAGATAGACACATTCTGGAAGATAAAATATATTTTACCAAATTTAAAAGCATAGAAATCATGCAATGCCTGCTCTAGAAATTAAATAGAATTAAGCAAGAAATCAGTAACAGAAAGACTGCTAGAAAATCCCAAAATATGTGCAGATTAAACGACACACTTCTAAATAACGCATAGGTCAAAAAACAAATCTCAAGAGAAATTTTAAAACACTTTGGACTAAATAAAAATGAAAACACAACTTATCAAAATTTGTGGGATGCAGTGAAAGAAGTGCTTAGAGGGAATTTATAGCATTGAATGAATAATTTAGAAAAGAAGAAAAATCTAAAATCAATAACCTAAGTTACCAATTTAGAAAACTGGAAAAAAATAAATTAAATATGAAGTAAGCAGAAGAAGTAGTAAGAATTAAAGCAGAAATGAGTGAAATTAAAAGCAGAAAATCAACAGAGAAAATCAATGAAACCAAAAGCCGAAAAGATCAATAAAATTGATAAGCCTCTAGCTTATCAAGGAAAAAAAAAAAGACACAAATTACTTATATGAGAATAAAAGGGAAAACATCACTACAGATCCCATGGACATAAAAAGGATAATAAAGTAATACAATGAACAACTATATGCCCACAAATTTGATAACCTAAGTGAAATGGACCAATTTTTTGAAAGACACAATCTGCCAAGACTCACACAAGAATAGATTATCTAAATAGACCTCTATTTATTACAGAAATTGAGGGGCGCCTGGGTGGCTCAGTCGGCTAAGCGGCCGACTTCGGCTCAGGTCATGATCTCGCAGTCCATGAGTTCGAGCCCCGCGTCAGGCTCTGTGCTGACAGCTCAGAGCCTGGAGCCTGTTTCGGATTCTGTGTCTCCCTCTCTCTGACCCTCCCCCATTCATGCTCTGTCTCTTTCTCTATCTCAAAAATAAATAAACGTTAAAAAATTAAAAAAAAAAAAAAAGAAATTGAATCAATAATTAATAACCTGCCAAAACAGAAAGTATGAGGCCCAGATGGATTGACTGGTGAATTCTACCAAATATTTAAGGAAGAAATCATACCAATTCTCTACAATCTCTTTCAAAGAATAGAAGCAGAGAAAATCCAACATTATCATTCTATGAGGCCACATTACCCTAACACTGATACTAGACAGAGACATTACAAGAAAAGAAAACTATAGATCAATATCTCTCACAAACATATATGTAAAATTCCTCAGTAAAATATTAGCAAATCGAGTTCAAAAATACGTAAAATGAATTGGACACCATGACCAAATGGGATTTATCCTGGGTATGGGAGGCTGGTTCAACATTCAAAAATTAATTAATGTCAACAAGCTAAAAAAGAAAAAGCACATGTTCATACCAACGGATGCAGAGAAAACTCTTGAAAAAAATCTAACACCCATTCATGATAAACACTCTCAGTAAACTAGGAACAGAGGGAATTTTCTCAATTTGATAAAGACTATCTACAAAAACTTGCAGCTGACTTCATACTTAGTGGTGACAAACTTGAAGCTTTCCCTCTAAGAACAGGTACAAAGCAAGGATGTCCCCTCTCATGACCTCTTGTCAACGTCATTCTGAAAGTCCTTGCTAATACAATAAGAGAAGAAACAGAAATAAAAAATGTATACAGATTGTGAAGGAAGACATCAAACTATAATTGTTTACAGATGACATGATTGGCTACGTAGAAAACCTGAAAGAATTGACACAAAAAAACTCCTGGACTAAGTGACTGGAGCAAGGTTGGAGGATCCAAGGTTAACAAGCAAAAGTTAATGATTTTCCCATGCACCAACACCAAACAAGGGGAATTTGAAATTAGAAACACAATACCACCTACATTAGCACCCCCCAAAAATGAAATACTTAGGTGCAAAAAACAAAATATGTACAAGATCTACTTGAGGAAAACTATGAAATGCTCATTATCCCGAAACAAATATTTCACTGTATGTTAACTAAAATTTAAATTAAATAAATAACTACACAAATAAATAAAATGAAATCAAAGAGAAACTAAATAAACGGAGAGATGTTCCATATTTATGGATGGGAAAACTCAATATTTTAAGATGTCACTTCTTCCCAACTTGGTCTATAGAATCAAGGCAATCCCAGTCAAAATCCCACCAAGTTAGTTTATAGATACTGACAAACTGATTCTAAAGTTTCTGTCGAGGGCAAAAGACCCAGAACAGTCAACACAATCCTAAGGGAGAACAAAGTTGGAGGACTGAGGCTATGTAATTTCAAGACTTGCTCTAAAGCCACAGTAATCAAGACGGTGTGAAAGAACAGACAAATACATTAATAGAACAGAAGAGAGAGCCCAGAAATACAGCCCTGTACATATAGTGAACTGATCTTTGACAATGAAGAAAAGGCAATGCAATGAACAAAGACAGTCTCTTCAATAAGAGAACAACCAAAAGTCCACATGCAAAAAAGTGAATCTAGGGGCGCCTGGGTGGCACAGTCGGTTAAGCGTCCGACTTCAGCCAGGTCACGATCTCGCGGTCCGGGAGTTCGAGCCCCGCGTCAGGCTCTGGGCTGATGGCTCGGAGCCTGGAGCCTGTTTCCGATTCTGTGTCTCCCTCTCTCTCTGCCCCTCCCCCGTTCATGCTCTGTCTCTCTCTGTCCCAAAAATAAATAAATGTTGAAAAAAAAAAAAGTGAATCTAGACAGAAGGTACACGCTTCCTAAAAACTAGCCAAGATGGATCATATGCCTACACGTAAAATGCAAAATTATAAAATTCCTAGAAAGCATTGTAGGGGAAAAATCTAAATGACCTTGGGTATGGTGGTGACTTTTCAGAGACAACATCAAAGACATGATCCATGATAGAAATAATTGATAAGCTGGACTTCGTTACAGTTACAAACTGGACTTCACTAAAATTAAAAACTACAGAAGACAATATCAAGAGAACTAGAAGACAAGTCACAATCTGGGAGAAAGTATTTGCAAAGGGTTGTTGCTCAAAATATACAAGAACTCGGGGGCGCCTGGGTGGCACAGTCGGTTAAGCGTCTGACTTCAGCCAGGTCACGATCTCGCGGTCCGTGAGTTCGAGCCCCGCATCAGGCTCTGGGCTGATGGCTCAGAGCCTGGAGCCTGTTTCCGATTCTGTGTCTCCCTCTCTCTCTGCTCCTCCCCCGTTCATGCTCTGTCTCTCTCTGTCCCAAAAATAAATAAACGTTGAAAAAAAAATTTTTTAAAAAAATAAAAAAATATATATACAAGAACTCTTAAAATTCAGCAATAAGAAAGCAAATAACCCAATTTTTAAAAATGGGCCAAAGACCTTAACATACACTTAACCAAAGACGGTATACCAATGGCAAGTTATCAGGGAATTGCAAATTTAAACAACAATGAGACATCGCTACACACTATTAGAATAGCCAGAACGTTGACAACACTATAGAATGTTCTGGAACGTTGACAACAACGATGCTGGCGAGGGTGTGGGGCAACAGAAACTCTCCTACTTTGCTGGTGGGAATGCAAAACCGTAGAGCCATCTTGGAAGACAGTATGACAGTTTCTTACAAAACTAAACATACTCCATACCATACAATCGAGCAGTCATGCTTCAACTCCAAAGGAGTTGAACACTTTTGTCCACACAAAAAGCTCTACATGGATGTTTATAACAGCTTTACTCATGGTTACCAAAACATGAAGGCAACCAAGATGTCCTTCAGTAGGCAAGTGGAAACTGTGGTCCATCCGGACAATTGAATATTACTCAGCACGAGAAAGAAACAAGCTAGCAAGCCATGAAAGGGTATGGAGGAATCTTAAATGCATATTACTAAGTGAAAGGAGCTAATATGAAAAGGCTACAGGCACCCTTTCAAGTTGGCGACATGGGTTTCACTCCATTTTGTCTCTTGGGCCCCCCAAAAGCAAAAATATTTACTATCTGGCCTTTCCCAAAAAGCATTTGTTGACCCTCGTTACACTGTCACTAGATTGTAGATTCCTGAAGGAAAATTCACCATTGTATCCCTAACTTCTAAGACAGCCTATCATGGCTTACACATCACAGCTGTCCGGGATGATATTTGTGGAGAGAATCAATGAATGCATGAATGAGTCCTAGCTAATACCCTAACATATACTATGTATTGATGCTGACCTAGTGAGTAAAAGGTAATGCTGAGAAGCGTCCCAATCCTCCAACAACCCCGGGAGGTACCAGCTCATACCCCATTTTACAGCTGAGAAGACCCAAGTTGCCCCAAGCACAGACCCCTTGACAAGGTGGACCTGGAATTCAGATCCAAGTTTGTGATATGGGAAGGCCACACTCTTGTAAGCTCCTAGCATGAGCTTGGGCAAAGGGCAGGCCCTATAAAATGATGGTTTGTTACCATAAAGTAATCATTGGGCCTAAGTTCTGTGATGTGAGCAGAAAGTGTCCCAGGACTTCCAAGAGCCAGCGGTGAAGTCTGGAGAGCTGTGGGATGAGTAACAGAGAAGAGACACTTCTCCACCAAAGCAAGTGTGACAGGCAAAAATCTTTGAAATATGAACTGATGTCTCATCTGCCCCTGAGTTATCCAGTCCCCTCTTTGGTCTGCTTCCCGGTTTCCAGAACTAAGCTCCTCCTGCCCCAAAGGAAATGGAAAGAATTTGAGAAAACACAAGATGTTGTAAGATGTTTCTTGCGCCCTCAGCTACGCCTGCCCGCCCCCATCCCTTGATTGATTGCCTTTAATGACTCCCTATGGCCCTGGAATCAGTCCATTGGCCTCAGCTGGCCTGAGACCCTGCCTGGGCTGGCTCCTGCCATTCCGGGACACTCGTTTCCTCTGGCACGTTCAAACGGAGGGCCCTTCAATTTCAGCACCCTCCAGGCACTGTCTGGCCTCAGCATCTCTGCACATGCTCTCACCCTACCTTCTTCTCTGACCTCCAGTCTAGGAAAAGTCCTGCTCTCTTGTTGCACCTGCGATGTGTGCACCTGCGACAACGTATACTGCCTGCTGGCCTGCCACCACGCCGGAGGGTAGGGCTCGTGCCCAGCGCCATGGCCCGTGGCCCTGGCGCGGGGGGCACCCGGTGAAGGTGCGTTTGGCACAAATAACAAAGGCCCTGTCCTAGTCTCCTTCCATGTGCTTTTGGATTTACTCTTCGCTGCACGATAGAGAGGAAAAGTGTGCCATGCCTAGGGTAGAGACGAAGACACAGGGACCCAGCAGCGCTGAACACCATCTTCGAGGCCACATGGCGGGGTGAAGGGAACCTGAGACCCTAGCCTGATTTCATATCCTGAACTCCTGTGGTATTTCACACGGCCGCCTCAGCTTGCGTCTGTGTCTTTTCCCGCCTCCTTCTGCACCTTTGTTCTTCCGTCCACCCCCAACCTGCAGGCATTAGGTGGAGAGAGAAGACATATGATATGATATATGATATGCATAATAGTATATTGATATATGATATGTGATAATATATAGCATATACTGTATTAATAATTCTATATTATCTCTAACATGTGGTCTCTACAACACACATTAATACTTAACCATTTCTGAGCACTTACTCCGTATCAGGTAGCTGACAGAAATCACCTTTCTTAATCTTTACCGTTGCCCTAAAATCAGCATTCTCCACAGGGTGATACCGCTCCTGAGCGGGCCAGCATGGGTTCGCGGGGAGTGAAAAATCTTAGCTATTACAACGCCTTGTGCTCCTCCAAAGCACCACAGTATATAATAAAGAGATATCCTGCGCATCTGTGGCATTAGAATTTCACGGGGAGGGAGATGATTCGGGAGGAAAAAGTCCAAAGAAACTTCTTCAAGGGGGCAATTTAAAAAAAAACACCGCCCTACACTGTAAATGTCCTCGTTAACCCCCCCCCCACCGAGTGCAGCCCCAGAGAGGTGAGCCCACTCCCCCAAAGTCACACAGCTAGCAACTTGTGGAGCAAAAATGCAAACCCAAGTCTAACGCCGAAAGCCAAGCCCCCCGATTGACTTTTGAAAGCCATCTCCGGACACTAGGTCCGCGGTGGCGGCAGGAAGGTTGCGGGAAGTGTGGTCCTCCGACTGCTGGCCACAGCGGCACGTGGGGGCTTGTCAGAAATACAGAATCTCAGGCCCTTCCCCAGGTCGACTGCGTGAGGACCCGCCACGTGCCCAGGCGACAGTCTGCACGCTCCCATGTTAAAGGAGTTGGGATTCCCGTGGTCACTGGTGAATGACCCTCACCTACCTCGAATCGCAAAGAGACAAAGGCACCTACAATTGTCCCTCATCGCGGGTCCCCGGGCCCAGTCAGAAACTCCCTTGCCAAACTAATTACACTTCAGGGTGTCCCGTGACTTGCTGGGTTCCCTGAAAAAGAAAGAAAAATGAAGTTCTCTTTCAGGTTTTCGGGGTAGATGATGTCAACTATTTACAGAGCACACATCCTTCTGGAGGCGTTCCATTCTCTGCCCACTGATCAGGGCCCCGTCAATCACGCCCGGACGAGAGGGCCCGTCAGCCCTTCTCAACGGACGCTACCTGTCACGTCGGCTCAACGATGCAAGCCTGCAATGCTGGGGACACAGGGAGAGCGAGAGTTCTGAAGACAGGCCCGTGGCAGGAAGGGCTCCAGGGTCGCACGGGACCCACCTTTGGGGAACGGGACAGCTCGAGGCTGTCCGTTGGGTGAGGTTGCAGACAGAAGGTGGGAGAGAGGCCTCCAGGGCCCAGGGGACCAGAGCTCCCTCATCGACCGCGTTTCAAAAACCCGAGCGCGCATCAGAACCACCTGCAAGGGCTTGTCGAACCACAGGCGGCTGGCCCTGCCCTGGGGTCCAGCGGTTTCCGGGGTTCAGCGGGGCCCGACCCAGAGCATCCTCCCAACCGCTGGGGGGGATACGGCTGTTCTCAGGACCGCACTCGGAGAACCGGGTCTGGGCTTCTGCTACCTTTTGTGCGAGCCTTGCACCAGCAGCTCTGACGTCACCCAGAAGCTTGCTCAAAATGCAGAACCGTGGAACCCCAGCCACTGAACAGAATCCACGTTTCAGCAAGATCCGTGGTGGGTAACGACGCACTTTCACTGTGAGGAGACGCTGGTCTGGACCCAATTACACATCAGAATCCTCTGGAGCAGCCATTAAATGCAGATTCTTGGGGCCAGCTCTGGGCCTAAAAAATCGGAATACTTGAGGGGTGTGAGCAAGGAAATAATGTTTTTTGTTTTTTAATTTTTTTAACATTTATTTATTTTTGGGACAGAGAGAGACAGAGCATGAACGGGGGAGGGGCAGAGAGAAAGGGAGACACAGAATCGGAAACAGGCTCCAGGCTCCGAGCCATCAGCCCAGAGCCCGACGCGGGGCTCGAACTCACAGACCGCGAGATCGTGACCTGGCTGAAGTCGGACGCTTAACCGACTGCGCCACCCAGGCGCCCCTTAATGTTTATTTTTAAGAGAGAGAGAGAGAGAGAGAGCGTGAGTGGGGAAGGGGCAGAGAGAGAGGGAGACACAGCATGTGAAGCAGGCTTCAGGCTCTGAGCCCTCAGCCCAGAGCCCCACGCGGGGCTCGAACCCACAGACCGCGAGATCGTGACCTGGCTGAAGTCGGACGCTTAACCGACTGCGCCACCCAGGCGCCCCGGAAATAATGTTTTTTTTAAGCTTATTTATTTTTTGAGAGAGAGAGCAGGGGAGGAGAGGGGCAGAGAGAGAGGGGACAGAGGATCCAAAGCACGTTCCAGGCTGACAGCAGAGGGCCCGATGCGGGGCTCGAACCCACAAATCGCGAGATCGTGACCGGAGCTGAAGTCAGACTGAGCCACCCAGGCGCCCCAAGGAAATAGTATTTTTAAGGAAGGACTCAAGAGAAAGCTCAGGAAGTCAGCACGACTGGTCTAACCAGCACTCTCTAAACTATTGGGGTGATGCAACACGTGCCTATCAACCCAATGCCATCATTTAGCTACGTAGAAACAATACACATCTTATTATGCTAATTCACTGTGACATTACAAAGCATCACAAAATACTTAAAGCATTTTATATATACATATACACACACACACACATATATATATATACATACACATATATACCTATATATTTACTTATATGTAATATCAGTATGTTTCTACCCACCGCCATAAAGCTCTTTTTTTTTCTTTTTTTTTTTAATTTTCTTTTTTATTTTTTTAAATTTACATCCAAATTAGTTAGCATCTAGTGCAACAATGATTTCGGGGGTAGATTTCTTAGTGCCCCTGACCCATTTAGCTCATCCCCCCTCCCACAATCCCTCCTCCCACAATCCCTCCCGTAACCCTCAGTTTGTTCTCTGTATTTATGAGTCTCTTCTGTTTTGTCCCCCTCCTTGTTTTTAGATTATTTTTGTTTCCCTTCCCTTATGTTCATCTGTTTTGTCTCTTAAAGTCCTCATATGAGTGAAGTCATATGATTTTTGTCCTTCTCTGACTAATTTCACTTAGCATAATACCCTCCAGTTCCATCCACGTAGTTGAAAATGGCAAAATTTCATTCTTTTTGATTGCCGATTAACACTCCATTGTATATATAGACCACATCTTCTTTATCCATTCATCCATCAATGGACATTTGGGCTCTTTCCACACTTTGGCTATTGTTGATCGTGCTGCTATAAACATGGGGGTGCGTGTGTCCCTTCGAAACAGCACCCCTGTATCCCGTGGATAAATGCCTAGTAGGGCAATTGCTGGGTCGTAGGGTAGTTCTATTTTTAATCTTTGAGGAACCTCCATACTGTTTTCCAGAGCGGCTGCACAGCTCGCATTTCCACACCGCCATTAAGCTCTTGCCCACCCCTCACTGGAGACCACCGGGAGCCACAGCTGAATGTTCCCAGGGAGACTCAATCACTTTGCTTAAACCCCTTCATTTAATCTTTACAACAATTACACGGTTGGAATCATTCTCGCATTTTACAGATGAGAAAGCTGAGGTCCAGACAGGGGAAGAAAGCAGCCCGCAGTCACCAGACTGGCCGGTGGCTGCGTCAGTGTTGGAGTGTATGTCTGACTGGGTTGTCGGAGCCCTTCCCCGCGACCCTGTCAGCCTGGGGTCTCCACATACAGGGGTTCCACACAAGGGACCTCCCAAGACGAAGGTCCAGTCAGTCGGGGCTCTGAGGCTCTCACTGCTGCTCCTACTAAATCCTCGGTCCTGTGACAATTTTTAGGGGCACAAAGATCATTGAGGCTTGAGGATTTCATCTACATATAAATAGGTCATTTCGATATCATCACATAATGTGTTTTAAGTACTAAGGCCGAGGTACGTGGGGTGTGCCAGTCGAGAGCAGTGGCAATGAGGAGCCTCGTGTGTCCCTCTGCTTTCTCCATCATGACTGCCACCTCCTTCTCTCACTTTGACTCCCGAGTGGTTGCATCATTTCTCCTCTTATCACCTTCCGGTGACCAAGCAGCCAGGGGGATCCTTTGAAAACAAAGGATCAGGTCACGTCGCCTGTGCTCAAAACCCTCCAGTGGCTCCCTCTTCACTGAAAGTAAAATCCCAAGATCTCACCACAGGCTACTCGAGCCCACGCTCAGTATATACATCACCTCCCACCTCTGTTCTCTAACCACTCCTGGCTCCTTGCCCCTCTTTCCTCACACCCAAGTCATCCCACCACAGGGCCTTTGCACTGACGATTCCTTCTGCCCAGAACACTCTTTCCCCAGGTGTGACTTGTTTCCACACTTTATTTATGTCTCTGCTTTTTTAAATTGTTAATGTTTATTATTTTCGAGAGAAAGACAGAGAGAGAGTGACAGAGAGCAAGCGGCGGAGGGGCAGAGGAAGACACAGAATCCAAAGCAGGTTCCAGGCTCCGAGCTGTCAGCCCAGAGCCCGACACAGGGCTTGAACCCACTAACCGAGAGATATCATGACCTGGCTGAAGTCAGAGACTTAACCGACTGAGCCACCCAGTAGCGTCCTGCTTAACTCCTCCCCCTTTATTCTCCTAAAATTTTCCTTCACAGGACACATCACCACCTGCTATGATTTTATAGAGTTATTTGTTTACATCAGTGGTCTGTAACTGGGCCATTTTGACCCCCAGGGGACACCGTGAGATGTTGTTATTGAAAGGACTGGGGGCGGGTCCCTACTGGCATCTGATGAGTAGAGGCCAGGGATGTTGCTAAATGTCCCACAGTGCACAGGACGGCCCTACAACAGAGAATGACCCAGACTCAAATGTCAACAGTGCTGAAGCTGAGGACCACAGTTTACATGTTGACTGTCTACATGTTGTTAAAGACAGTGCTTGCCACGCAGTAGATGCTCAGGACGTATTTGTTGTATGGATGAGTGAGTGGGTGAGTGGATGGGATGGATGGATGGATGGATGGATGGATGGGATGGGTGGATGGACGGATGAATGGACAAATGAATAGCGGCTCAGTCCAAGAGCTCAAAAAAGTAATAACTCATCCCTCACCTCCTCACCTCCAACTTCTATCCATCCTTCAGATCTCAGTTTTTATGAGCCTTCTTTGATTCACTCCCATGCACACGCGTGCACACACACACACACACACACACACACACCACAGTGAGCTTCTCCTGGACGCGCCTCTGACAGCCCTTCCACTTTCCTTAGCAGCATTGATCCAGAAGGTGATAATTATTTGTTTGGTTGTCTGCCCCATGCTGCCTCCTTCACTCAACTATAAATTCAGTAAGAGAGCTGTGTCTGCCTGGTCACCAATTAATCCCCAAAGTGCCTGGCAGAGTAACCACTCCCTACATTTATTGAATAAATGAAGATAATTTAGGGAAAAGAGCTTTGAAATATGGCAATAAATATATCCATTCTACAAATGAATTTGTGGATTAGTCATTAAAATATTAATTTGTTCAGCTCAAGATATAGAAATAGTAGAAGATATCTTCCCTGCCCACATCCTCTGAAAGCAGCCTGGGCCTCAGTGTCTCTTTTCCCCAGAGAAGAATGAATAAGCCCTTGTTTTCAAATAGAAGATGCTAGAAGGATCTTGATTGTCCAGAGAGAGAACCTTCAAGGGGTGGGGGAGGAAAGCAAGGTACCAATGGCCCAGTCCTAGGAACCAAGGGATGGAAAGCCAATGGAGAACTGCATCAATCTGTCATCTCCCCCAACCTTCCCGAAGGGGCTGATCATCTAGTGAAAGTGCTGATGTGGAAACTTCTAGTTTTCTACAGCTGGATGAAGGGTGCTGTGGCTTGGCCACTGTAGCAAAAAGATCCTATGTTCAAACTTGGAAAAGGAGAGCCACCTGGCTTTGAGGGAATAAAGAGCCTTTGGCCAGCAAGTATCTCAGTTTTGATCACAATGCAATCAAGACCAGAGGCCCATTTCCATGGTTTTCTAGAACCTTGAAGCTTTGCTTCAGTCGAAGGTGGGAAAAAAAAAATTCCCTCCAAGTAGGACAGAGTAGAAACATCCCAAGTGAGAAAGCAACAACAACATCCAACAGAAATATAATGCAAGCCACATACGCATAAGGTTAAATTTTCTAGTAGCCATGTTTAATAAGTAAACAGGTGAAATTAAATTGAATAATATATTCCACTTAACCCAATATATCCAAAATACCATTTCAACATGGAATCAGTATCAAAAATGCATTGAAAAGTATTTTCCATTCTTTTCTCCTCATTCTAGGTCTACAAAGTCCAATAAGTGTTGTGTACTCCCAGCACATCTCGGTTTGGACAAGCTACTCTTCAAGTGCTCAGTAACCACCTGTGGCTGGTGACTCCTGAATCTGACAGCTCAGTTCTATTGGATGGGAATTTGTAATATACCTTGGGGTCTTTGTTTCATATGAGGTAGCATCCATTTTCTCCTTTCTGCTAGTGATTGCGCCCAAATTTGGGGGGGGGGGGGGGGGGAGGTGGCTAACTCTTCAAATTAGTTATCTATTGCTGGTTGTTAGGTCGAATTGTGTCCCCCAACCCCCCAAAAAAGATTTGTTGGAGCCCTAAGCCCCAGTACTTGTGAATGCAATCTTACTTGGAAATAGGGTCTTTGCAGATGTAATCAATTTAAGATGAGGGTGGGCCCTAATCCAACGTGACTTATACCCTTATTTTTTAATTTTTTTTTAACGTTTTTATTTATTTTTGAGACAGAGAGAGACAGAGCGTGAAGGGGGAGGGGCAGAGAGAGAAGGAGACACAGAATCGGAAGCAGGCTCCAGGCCCTGAGCCATCAGCCCAGAGCCCGACGCGGGGCTCGAGCTCCCGGACCGCGAGATCGTGACCTGAGCTGAAGTCGGCCGCTTAACCGACTGTGCCACCCAGGCGCCCCATACCCTTATTTTTTAAAAAGGGTAATTTGGACACAGACACAGACATGGACGCACCAAGGAAAGATGATGTAAAGAGACACAGGGGAGATGGCCATCTATAAGCCGAGGAATGCCTGAGGCTACCAGAAGCTAGGAGATGGGCCAGGACCAGATCTTTCCCTAGAGGCTTCAGGGCGAGCATGGATGTGCTGACATCTTGATCTTGGACTTCTGGCCTCTGGCGCCCTGAGAAAATAACTTCCTGACACTCTGAACCACCCAGTGTGTAGGACTTTGTTATGGCCGCCCTACAAAACTAACATCCCACATAACAAATGGTCCCAAAATTTAGCAACTTGAAACAACAAACATGTATGATCTCACAGTTTCAGTGGGGCAGGAATCCAGGCGTGGCTGACGGCCTCTCACAGACTGCAACCAAGGTGTCGGCCACAGCTGTGGGCTCATCTCAAGATTCCAACGGGTCAGGATCCACTTCGAAGTGAAATCAGTGGTGGGGGCAGGATCGGTTCCTCATGGGCTGTGGCACTGAGGGCCTCAGTTCCTCATTGGCTATTGGCTGGAGGCCTCTGTCAGTTCATCACCACGTGTGATTCTCTTTAGGGTAGCTCACACACGATCGTTGTTTGGATGCGGCCAGCAGGCAAGAAAACAAGAGAGTGCCACAAGACGGAAGCCAGTCTTCTACAACAAATACGAAAGTGATTTCCCCTCACTTTTGCCTCATTCTCTTCATCAGAAATGAGCCATTAGGTCCAGCCACACTGAGGGGGAAGGGATCACACAAAGACATGAACACTGGGAAAAAGGGGCCATCTCAGAGGCTGCCGGCCACACCATTTCAGACTTCGCCAAGGGGTAGGCAGGGGTGAGGGCTGCTCACACTCTTTCTCATCCAAGAGAGACTTGGTTCACCCCTACGTCCCCAGAGCTGACCCATTTCCTGTCCTCCCCCAGCCCAGTGCTTCCCCTGGTGGTTTGTCAGTTACCCTGTGTATTTCAAAACTGAAGAGTCGATTTTGTTTCTTGCTTCCATCAAACGCTGATAAAGGGTAGGACAAATTTTCTTTGTTAGAAAAATAATAAATTATAACCCTTGAACCCAAGTATTATAAAGCAAATGCCCACCTGCTCATTGGATGGGTGGATGGATGGATTCAAATTTCTGTGTGACACGCCCACCAATCCTAATCTTTTTCATCTGCCCAAGAACTCTTGATATCAAGGTCATGATATCATTAAGCTTTCTTTTTCAGTAACACTTCTTGGTTTTTCTTTACTTAAAGCAGAATAGCAAAAATAATGGATGTGTATTTGTGAAAGCGCGCGTGTGTGTGTGTGTGTGTATGCACGCACATGTGCATGTGTGTCTTCGTTCACATTTATTGGCTTCCTTAGGTATTCTGAAAATTAACCAGGCCTGCTAAGGGACACTAGTAAATATTTGGTCATAAAGTATCTTCAGAGAACAATTTTCTGAGTTAACCACACCCGATAAAATCCCCTTGCCTCACTGAAAGTCTTGTCTGGCTGTCAGGCAATGAGATCGTTTTATTGAAAAGACTCATGATGTAGTGAACAAAAGCTTAGGAAATAAACTCTAATCCCCAAAGGAACAGTCGATACAACTCTACTCACACTGAAATATTCAATTTATGGCCTATATTGAATCCTATGTCTATAATTTACTGCCCTAACTACAAAAGAGTTCTTTTAATACAAACCAATTTCAACATATTTTACTATTCTCCTTGCCTCTGTTAAAGCAGAAATAACAAATTCTGCTGAAAGAGAAGAAGGCCTAATGCAATAAAGATTCCCAGGGATGCATCCTACAATCCCCTACTTTTCATCAGACTCTAACTGGGTACCTAAGATTGTGTTTGGGCATTCTTATTTGTAACTGGCTTCCCAGGTAGGTCTGATATACACCTAGGACAAGAGCTCTTAGGAAACAACAATGCATTTATTCAGTAAATATTTATAGGGTACCTACTATGTGCAAGAATCATTCCGGGTTCTGGGGACATGGCAGTAAGCAGACTAGACAATAAGGTCCCTCTCTTTGAGTAGATGGCATCTTGGAAGGGAGAGAGAAAATAAACAAGCAAAATATACGCTATGAAGAATGCTCAGGAGTCAGAAAAGTCCTCACAAAGGTGATATTTGGGCAAATATCTGAAGGAAGTGAAAGAAGGGAGTAGCTCATAGATCTGGAGGAAAAAATAACCAGGAGGGGTTTGGAGCAGAGGAATTGACCGTCTGTCTCATATTTTTAAAGGATCCTTCTGGCTGTATTTAGAATTGATGCTGGGTGTACCAGGGAAAGGGGGATATTAGATAGTAATTGCAGCAAACCTAGTGAGAGGTGATGGGGGTGGACCAGGGTAGTAACTGAGGATGTAGGACGAGATGATTGGATTTTTTAATACATTTTAAAGTTAGGACAATAAGATTGCTCTTCCATTTGATTTGGATTATGAAATTGTTAGCACTCTGGACTGTGATTTGGATTATGAAATTAAGACAGGCTTTAAGGATGACTTCAAGGTTTTATCATGAGGGACAAGAATCATGATGCTATCATTTTCTGAATAGAGAAGACGGGGGAAGAATTACATTCGCAGAATGAAGATTCGGAGTTCAGCTCTGGACATGTCAATGGTGCATATGCTGCATATGTCAACGGTCCAATGCTGCATAATCAATTTCCCCAAAACTTTGTATCTTAAAACAACAAATATTTATTATCTTAGTTTCTGTGAGTCAGGAACTTGGAGCAGCATAGCTGGATGGCTGTGGTTCATGGTCTTTCATGAGGTGGCAGTCAAGATATCAGCTGGGGCTGCAGTCTTATGTGAAGGCTTGCCTGGGGCTGGAGGGTCCACTTTCAAGATGGCGCCCTCACACTGCCATTGGCAGGTGGCCTCAGTTCCTCACCATGTGGGTCTCCCCATAGGACTTGTTGAGTGTTCTCACATCACGGCGGCCAGCTTTCCCCACAGTGAGTGATCTGAAAGAGGCAGGCAGAAGTCACAATGCCTTTTATGACCTAGTCATGGAACTCAAACACTGTCGTTCCCATAATAATCTATTAGAAGCAAGTCATTAATTCAACCCACACTCAAGGAGAGGGAAGGTAAGCTTCACTCCTTGAAGGATGTTGTGTCAAAGAACTTGTGAACCTTTTTTTAAACCCTCCACATGCCTATCAGACATTCCACTGGAGTTATTACATATTAGTTGAATATACAGATTTGGAGCTCAATGGAGAATCTGCAAGAGAGACAGAGCCCAGGAGTGGGTACCATATGGCCATCACCAGCATTATGATATTCTTATGCCATAGTGGGTATGAACACAAGCTTTAGTATTAAATGTGAATTCAAATTCCAAGTCATACACTCACTAGCCCTTTGATCTTCATTATCACGTAAAAACCTCATGAGGTCCCGCTTTTTTTTTTCTTTATAAAATGGGGATAATAACAATTACCTAGTCTTACCCCCACGGAGCTTTGGTTCACCCAGAAACCTGAAAGCTAGGTAGGTTGGTTTCCCAAAGAAAATACAAATTGTGGTACCAGCAGAAAGAGGAAGGAGACTAGACACGCAAAACCAACAAAGGCCCCTACAGACCTTTTAGGAAGACCAATGCCAACTGATCCCCAGAAAATATGTTCAGATGTTGATATGTAAAACCCTTCTCTGTTCCAAGAAATGGTCGATAAGGTCCTCAATACCTATTAAATGATTGGTGTGAGTGGATTTCTGTCATTTAAATTGTTTTTAATGTTTATTTATTTTTGAGAGAGAGACAGAGCATGAGCAGGGCAGGGGCAGAGAGAGAGACAGACAGACAGACAGACAGACAGAATCCAAAGCAGGCTCCAGGTTCTAAGCTGTCAGCACAGAGTCCAATGCAGGGCTCGAACCTACGCACCACGAGATCACGACCTGAGCAGAAGTCGGAAGCTTAATCAACTGAGCCACCCAAGCGCCCTGAGTTTCTGTAGTGGAAGATGAAGGCAGGACAGAGTTTCAGGGAGGCAGGGAGGAGAAAGAGACAGTACAAGAGACAGAAACAAGAGACCAAGAGAAAGTATCCCCTAAATTCCCTAAATCCCCACAGGAATTAGAGGAAATCTTTGGGAAAGCTTTGGAACTGCTCTGGTTCAAGGAATGAGGACTTCAAGGCATTCTTCACCTAGATGTCACAGGGCAAGAGGTTCTCTAGCTGATCATACTTTTTAAACTGTATCCAGCACCACACCCAACAGAGTTTAGAAAAACTCACCTGAATTATGAACCCCACCCCCTGCACCAAACTTCCAAACTTCCGATGGCAAGTGGGAAACGGAAGAGACAGTGAGAGCGATCATCGACTCCAAGAAAACAAAGAAGCTAAGGGGATGAGAGGTGGATGAACCCCAGTTTTAGAAAAGCTTAAGATCACTACATTTGTAGACAGAGAGCTACTCTGAAGGAAGCTTATTCATTTTTATAATGATTTTACGAATGTCTGAGCATTTTTGATGAAATCCTTCAGATCTATAAAAAGGTATTGGAGGGGCGCCTGGGTGGCGCAGTCAGTTAAGCGTCCGACTTCAGCCAGGTCACGATCTCGCGGTCCGTGGGTTCGAGCCCCGCGTCGGGCTCTGGGCTGATGGCTCGGAGCCTGGAGCCTGTTTCCGATTCTGTGTCTCCCTCTCTCTCTGCCCCTCCCCCGTTCATGCTCTGTCTCTCTCTGTCCCAAAAATAAATAAACGTTGAAAAAAAAAATTTTTTTTAAATAAAATAAAAAATAAAATAAAGGTATTGGAGAATAACAAAGCAAACACCTTGTGTTCTTACCGCCCGGTTTAAAAAAAAAGGGGGGGGGGACTTTACTTGGATAACAATACTTGTAGAGTGATTTGGGTCTTTTAACCATGGGTATGCACGTCTGTGATAAACACACACAAAAATGAAAGCAGGGATTAAAAACTAAAACTGATTGCAGACCGAGCCGTAGAAGGAATTTTAACAGTAAGATTACAGTGGCTATATCTTCTGTGCTCATAACGAACTATGGCTTTGAGCAGCTGTTTTTCTTTAATGAAGAAATAATTACATCCAAAGTGCTTTTACAGGAGACCCCTGTGAGCCCTCCCCTCTCTGATCATATTTCGCTCCTTCTTTCCCAAGATAACCACTATCCCGAATGTGATGTGTGCCTATGAATATCTTTATATTTTTATCCCTGTATGATATATAGTGTTGTTTTCTGTGTTCCTTAAACTTCATACCAACGGTATCATTCTGTACTTATCTCTCTGCAACTCGCTTTTCGCTCGATGTTAGTTTTTGAGCTGTGTCCGTGCTGCAAAGCACAATCCCAGCTCCCTCCGTTCGGGGCAAAAGTTCTCCTGATCCACTGATTCACTCTGCTCCTCATCGATTGATTCAGACCTTCTGTTTGGTACAGTGTTTGGCAAAGAGATACTCTTGAAGTTGACTCCTGGTCCATGGGTGTAAGTTTTTCTAGGGATCCGCCTGGGGAAAAAACAGCAGAGTCATGGAGCGTGCCCATGAAAACCCCCTTTACCTGAGGGGTTTTTTCATACACGGAACAAAATGTCATCAAATTTTTGACCAGAGACGCCTAATCCCCGCAGTCTCCCCATCCTCTCCCGCAGTCAGGAATGTCATCCCTTTCTTGGCACCATTGACACCCTGCTCTTTCTAGAAAATTCTGGCATCCACAGTTCTCCTCAGTCTTCCTCCCTCTTGATTTCTCTGTGGTGTTCGGCCCTGTTGACTCAGGGTCGGGTAGGGATAGACACTCAGCAATTGAAGACACGTTTTCTCACTCATGGGACCAGCATTGTCCAAGAGAAATATAACGTGGGCCACACATGTACTTTGAAATTTCTAGTAGCCACACTGAAAGAAACAAGAGCCAGGTTTTAATAATATATTTTGTTTAATTCAATGTATCCAAAAAAATGATTTTAACCTATAATAGAAACATTATAAAATATATTCCACAGAGTCTTTTTT